AGATAGTTAGCAAGTTCCACCAGTCGGGATAACAGATGGCATCCGGTGGAAACCGACGCTCCTCCTCCTTTGAGGATCTTCTAAAGGGGCGACATAATTTTGCCCTAGGTTACCATGAACGGGGGACTGGGGAAAAGGAATGTCATCGTTTCGAGTAACTGCGGCCAGTGGAGATGATGTAGCAGTTGTTGGTGGCAGAAATGGATTTGGTCAAAAAGGATATGAAGCTGATGGCGATAAAGGATGAGAAGCGGCTGCTACAAGCGCAGTGTTGGTTGTTGGTTGCTCATCAACCGAAGATGGAAGGGACCCGGTACTCAGCCTCACGGTACCGGGTACAACGATTGGGACTCGAAAATGGGAGTTGGCATTTTCTACCATATCAAACTCCCCCCGGAGGGCCAAGGCATCAGCCTCAATGGGGTAACTAACTCAACAGATTGAGCATTCTGTTGAGTTGATGAAGGTCGTTGTCTTCTATATAGAGAAGCTCCCTCATCATTATATTCTCCAAAATCATTAATAACCACGGGATCTATGGCCGGCTCGGGCATGACGCTATATACCATAGCATTTGAAGATGACTCGAGCACGACACTCCTTTCCCTTTTATTTTTTCCCTCGGCCACGAAGGAACGTCTCTATTTTGGTTGCTTATTATTCGGCTGGGGACTCCGAAAAGAAGAACTTTCACTAGAAGCAAGCCCGGATATGCCTGTTCAAGTAAATACCTCCTGAAGCAACCTCGTCGCATCAGCAGGATTAGCCAAAACATCCTTCTCGGTAACGACAACTGAGCCCTGTGGTAGACCTGAATTCAACAAAGGAAAAAAGGGGTTAATCGGCTTCCTTATACGAGAGGAAAACAACAAGTTGAGTTTAATCTACCATGATTTTTGGCCTTCCACCCGTATTTGAGGGCTAGTTCTTTCTACGTGCAGGTCTCGGGCGTTGTAACATCCAAAATCTTTTGGACCCACTGGTCCAAACTTTTAACCCGTAGTGGAACCCACCAATTTGTTGAAATAAGTGGAAGAAGAAGGGTCAATAATGATATGAGACGATCTGTAATGGAAGAAAAGAGAAATGGTGAAATTACGAGTGCGGTTCCATGATTCCATAAAGGATGAAGCCATTGCCGGAATGATGTCATTAGTGGCGACTGCAAAAAATTGTTCCATCCACCTATGTTCGTTGTCGTTATCCATGCTAGATAGTAGAACATGGTGACCACGCTTGCTGAAATTTACCATTCCCCCGCGGAAGATCTTGGGGGACTAGAGGTCCATCAACCGATCTAGGGTTAGCTCCTCTCTTGCCTCCTAGCACATGCGCCAAAGACAAGCGATTGTCCTCTACACAGAAGGACTTACTTGCATCGGCATGCCTGGTAACAGATGCAGAACTCCACGATGACGGAGTCGAGCTCTCCACTCAAAGAGAACTGCCCCAAAGTGAATGGATAAGTATAAAAATACGTAAAACCCTTCTTGGGTAAGTTACCCGCTCCGTTAGATCAAGAGTGATAATGCTTAGATCTTGGAAATGGAAATCTTCCTTCACGGTAGGAATGCTGGAAGGACGGATAGAAGAAGGGTATCTGCCAACGGCCCAAGTGCGAGGATTTGAAGTTGGGAACTTCTCTTCGAAGTCCTTGGTTGTGATAAGACTTCTTGGATGATGGTGCTCACCGTATGATGAGTGGCTTCATCAGCTTTACCTTTGTTTTTTGAGGAACTGGGATTTTTGGAAGAAGAATCCATTTTTTATCGAAAAGATAGGAAAGTTTTCTCTCAAGAAGAAGATCAAAGAAGGGTTGAAAACAAAGTAAGAAGTTGAGTAAAGAGGGTTTGAGAAGTTCGATAGATTAAGAAGTGTAAATGAAAGAGTTTGATGTGTGTAAGTAAAGAAATGGACGGCTAAAATCGTGCCTATAATTACCTCGATAACCGACAAAAGTGGTGATGAATCATGGGGTGACGCGTGTCAAGGCATTAAATATAGAGAGACGTGCGTCTAATCAATCGTCAGAAACCTTTTGGAGGAGGTTAGAGAATTTCCCACCAAGAAAGGTATCTCTACCAACTTCCCGGTGACATAACATTATGCCACCGGAAAGTAGAGGGACTATCTGTATGGGGTAAAATATGTTCATTTTTAATGATCATATGAGAAAGTGATACGTGGAGCCAAAGACAAGAGGCAGTTGAACCCGAGGCCAATGGCTTCACTTGTCTTCGGAAGGAATAGTATTCATAAAGACATAATAAATGTCTGCCATCCGGTAGCATTCAATAAAGAATATTCCACAGTATTAAGTGCATGATCCGTTACAGAGAACATGACATTCACTGTCCACCGTTACACATTCTTCAATGGCCCTCATAATTGTCATTTAAGAGGGTTTGATCCTAGTACCATGTTCCCTAGGTGTAGCTATAAATAGTGAGTTCTTCCATCATTGTAATGAGGAATTTTCTGAGAAATGTATGCTATATTATACCAAAAAGCTCAATAACAATCTACTTTTATTGCTTATTTGCACTGTTCTTACTGATTTCGGTAGCTCTGCGCCTGAAATTAAGATATCTGTCGTTTATTTTAATTTCAAGGCTAAGTCTCACATTTCTATCTAAATTCATCTATTAATTTAGGATCAAATTAATTCACTTGTCTATAAATCACGTATAAATTCAAACGTACCATTTTATGGGTAAACAACCATAGTTGTCAAAATATTTAAAATGTAACATACTTCCTATATAAAGGGATCAGACATATATATTTCAATTAGCACAAGAACCAAAATAAGAATTTATCCATAATTGAGGGACCAAAAGTGTTATTATTCCCGTTTAATTTACGAAAGCATGTTACTGGATGGACCAAAAGCTCAAAACTCTATTAATTACAGGTTACATATGCTTGTTTGTCAAACGTTGAGAAAATCAAAATTGGAAGATGACAAAAGTTAAGGGACAAACAAAAATTTATCTCTTAATTAAAATATTAACAAATGAGCATCCCAATCAATAACTTTATTTTGAAGTAAGTAAGCGAGTATAAGGTTCTTGTGACAGGTGCAACGAGTGTGCATTTTTAATACTCCCTTGTTTCAAATTATATGATGGTAATTTTTATATACAAATAATACTTTTTATATTTAGATGTAATTTAATTATTTTATTCGTAATGAGATAATTTATAAATACATGATACTTAAATTATTTTTGTCATGGATTTTTAATATTTTTGAATTTTGTACCCTCTCAAAGTAAAATCACATAAAATATGGAAAAATAAATATTTTTAACCTCTCCTAAAATAATAGCCGGTAATATATGTGCGCGCACATTATATACAATGGCGAATCTAGAGTATAGTTACTGGGTTCCCGGGAACCCAGTAACTTTTGCGTAGAGACTGTGTTTCTATTAAAAAAATCATTAAATATTTATAAATATCTAACTGTAAACTCAGTTATTATTGTATATTAATTTGAGATTACGATAAGAATCCACAAACTTTAAATCCTGAATTTGCCTCTGATTATATACATATACCATTTATAATTTATATACTTTTTAGCTAGCAGAAATTATTAATTTTGATCGACCGGTCAATATCTTATTTTGCGCTAATATGTGACGGTGTGGAGCAAGATGGTTCTCTCATAGTTCCTTGTCATATCTGTAATTTACTTCATATGGCAGCACCCTGCAAAAATCAGAAATTGACTTGATTCTCCTGCTGCTGCTTTTCTGATTCTCTTCGTCACCTTTGCGATTATTTCCTTGTTTCGCTTTTTTCTTTTTCTTTTTTGGTGATAAAAAAATAGACCATTGTGCAGGCTGCATAAAAAATAGACAATTGTATTGTTTTTTTATATTAACCAAATTAATTTTGTAATTTTAGTATATTAAACTGAATGTTTATTGATCACCTACGAAATTGCCACAGTTTTTCTTCATTGCTAATCAAATTGAGTTCTCTACTTTTACATTAATTACTCTTTCGTTGTTTAATTATACACGTGTTCAGTTTTGACATATTACATTAATTAAGTATAAAAATGATAATCTTACAATTGACTTCAACAATAAATCTTAACAGCTCCTATAAGACTATCTCAAAGTAAAATGAAAATATAAATATTGAAATATAAAAAAATTATCAAATTTTAAAATAGTTTTAAAAAAAGATGCGACAAACAAATTAAAACTGAATGTAATATGTAAAATTAAGATAAATTTTAAAGAGGGATATTTAAAAGGAAAATTATCATAGAAAAAAAGAAAGAGGGGTGGTCTCCGATAAACCAGACTAATTAATATTCCAAGGTATAAACCGCAATTTTCGTGGTCGTTGGTTCCCTGAGATAAAGAAGGACCACTGAAACAACTGCAAAAGTTACGCTAATTTCTCTATTGTCTTTGTCGGGTTTTAGCCGCAGTTCATCGAATCTCTAGGTCTTCTTATTTTAATGGCAGAGATTCTCAGTCTTATTACACGGTTTATGTGATTTCTAACATTAGTTTGGTGGCTTTTTATAAATTTATTTTTAATTTTTTAGCCTAACCTTTTTTTTTTACATATAGGAGATTTACTTTTACAAATCTGTGTTTTTTTTTTGGTAAATAAAATTTTATTACCAGGGAAAGATGTTATTGTACAATTCAAAACAAAACCCCTGCAGTATGATCATTAGACTCAAACTGTAGTAACTACTCAAAAAGAAGCTAAGCTACTGGTATCAATCTATCGATAAGCGTTGTCTCTCGTAGTACAATAGTCATGGATACCAATTCATCGTTCTCAATTTGCTTGCAATCCTCACCTTGTTTGCACCTCGCACATGTACATCTTGCACAATTGATCTTGTCAGCCATTCAGCATCTCTTTTCTTGTTCTGAAATGCTCTGAGGTTCCCCTCTTGCCAAATAGCGTAGCCACATGCTGCTAAGGTCATTCTGTATATATCAGCTCTGTCATTTTTGCCTCTAGCATATCTCTCGGCCTATTGTTGCTCCATACTCCATCCCATATGTCTCCTTCTTATCCCCTGCCATTTTAGTAATCTGCTCCACACACTTTCTGAGTATTTGCACAGAAAAAAAAGGTGTTCTCTCGATCCATCCTCACCTTCACATAGTGGACAGACCATATTATTCACAATACCCTATTTTGCAAGCCTGTCCTTAGTGTATAGTTTTCCATGAGCTATCAACCGCAATATAAAGATCCACTTTGGACTTCCAGCATTATTACATACAAGCCTTCTCCATGAGACTTTCTGGTATCCCCTTGCATTTGTTGATATAGCTTCTTTATAGAAAAAGAATTCATTTCAACTATATCCGCAGGCATGTACCCGCATTTGCAAAGTATTCTTTGGCCTTAAATATTTTCCTCACCATCTAGGATGCTTGAGTTGGATTTATGTCTCATATTGGTCTGTTCTTCCCGCAATAAGTATGAATCTATTGGATCCACAAATGATCCTTCTTCTTGCACAAATTCTAGAAATGCAATAAGTATGAATCTATTGGATCCACAAATGATCCTTCTTCTTGCACAAATTCTAGAAATGCTTACTGATAGCAGCTTTGTTCCAAGTATGCACATCAATTACGTTTAGTCCCCTTGCAAAGAGTGGTCTGCAAACTTTGTCCCATGCTAGCAAATTCTTATTATTATTTTCAGTACCCCATGTCCAAAGGAACTTCCTGCACACTGCTTCAATCAAGTGAATAATCTTCTTTGGGAGAACAAACACTTGGGCCCAGAAAGTTTGTATAGAAAATAGGACACTTTTTATCAATTGTTCCCTCCTAGCATAGGATAGGTACTTTGTAGTCCATGATTCAATTCTTCCTAGCATTTTCTCCAGTAGAGGGTAGCATTGTACAATGGTTAATTTCCTTGTACTTAGTAGGACTTCAAGATATCTAGCTAGTAGCTGCCTTTAGTAAAGTTTAACTTTGTCAGGATGTCATTCTGCACTACCTCAGGAATCCCACCAAAGTAAATAGAGCTTTTCTGCTTGTTTACTACTAATCCAGAAGCCTTTGAAAAATTTAGAAAGCAATCAAATAAGAGCTGGACAGAGATGACATCTCCTCTGCATAAAAGAAGCATATCATCCGCAAAACCAAGTTGTACAATCTTCATTTTCTCGCATCTGGGATGGTAATTGAAATCTGGATCAAAGGGCTTGCAAGGCTTCGTTTGGCATCAAAGGGCTTGCCTTAGGCCTCTTTTGGGATCAAAGGGCTTGCAAGGTTGACCATTTATCAGTACTGAGTAAGATACTGTTTTCACACATTGCATGATCCACCTTGTAAACCTTCCCGGAAATTCTAGACCATCAATCACTTGCTCCAAGAATACCCACTCTACTGACTCATACGCCTTTTGCATATCCAATTTCATCATACACCTTGGGGAGATCCCTTTCCGCTCATAGCCTTTCACCAATTCATGGCTTAGGATTATATTATCAGAAATGACTCTACCTGGGACAAACGCAGATTGAGAATTGTCCACCAGCTCATCCATCACATCCTGGAGTCTTTGGACAAGTATTTTGAGATGATTTTGTACAAGATTGTGCAACAAGATATAGGTCGATAATTCTTTATGGATGATGGGGTCTTCACTTTTGGAATCAAAGTTACTGCCATGCAATTTATTGGTTTGAACATGTCTGTTTTCTTAAAGAACTGCAAGACAGCTTTGGTGATTTCATCTCCAATGACAGGCCATGCCTTCTTGAAAAAACATTCATTCAACCCATCTAATCCTGGTGCTTTCAGATCATCTATCCCCCATAGAGCTTTTTCTACCTCTTCTCTTGTTACTTGTGCAATCAATTTAAGTTGTTGACTTCTTCTTAGAGTTGGCCCCTGCTTCATTACTTGCAATTGTATTGCTGGCACAACCTTGGCAGCAATTCCCAGTAGGGATTTATAATAGTCAATTATCTCAACTTCTATGTCTTTCTCCATTTATAGCAAATGCCCCGATTGTTTAGCTCTCTTATGTAATTTTGTGAGTTCCTAACCTTTATATTTGCAAAGAAATATGTTGAATTTGAGTCTCCAAATTGTAACCATTTCACCCTAGACTTCTTTCTATATATACTTTCTTCAATATAATCCCACTTCTCTATTTGGTTTTTCAGCTTTTTTTCTTCCTCAATTAGCTCATGTTGCCTCAAGTTGGTATCCATCTTCTCCTGGACTTCCTTTAATTGGTCCCTAAGATATTTCAACTTCTTATCTACTCCCATATAGTGCTGTGTATTTAAGGTCTTAAGCGCTTTCTTGACCTCTTTAAGCTTTGCCCAAATACTGCCCATGCTGCTCAAATTTTCTTCTTTGCACCAGCACTGTTTTATCAAGGAAATGAACCTTCCATCATCCGCTAGGCAATTCAAAAATCTAAATGGTTTTCCTCCATTGTCTGTTCTCCTTCCAAATTGGATGCTTAGAGGGGAGTGATCCGAGAAGTATGGTTCCATTACTCGCACTTGCAATGTTGGCATTGTGGTCATCCATTCTCCATTTACTATTGCTCTATCAATTTTACTGTAGACATGATTGTTTGTCCAAGTATATTTTCTGCCCATATACTGTAGTTCAGTCATACTAGTATCAAATAGAAAATCCCTGAAATCTCTAATTTCTACCTCCTATATAGGGGCTCCAAATTGTCTGTCTTCAGGATGCAACACTATGTTGAAATCTCCCATGATGAGCCATGGTCCCTGTTAAGTAGTTTCCAAGGCTTTAAGTTTCATCCATAACCTCTCCATGTTCTTTATGTTGTGTAAACCACAGACAGCCATAAATGTGAAAGCTATATTAAGAGAAAATATTCTCACTGTTCCATGCACTATTTGAGGGTCCATATCCAGCATTGTGAATCCAACATATTTAGGATCCCTGAGTCCCCATATCCTCCCTTTTGTGATTGTACTGCATTTGAAATTCAGTTCTAATTAGGAACTATTTTTTGTATTATCTTCCCTTCTTTACATTGTTGTACTCTATGTTCTACTATAGCAACGAAATTAACTTTATTCTCCCTCATAAACACCTTTATCTACTTGTGCTTATGTGTTTTATGCATGCCTCTCACATTCCACGTCACTAAATTCATCATTAATTATGATAGAAGCCGGTATCCCCTGTCCCACCAGTGTAGCTGCATTGTCCCCTAGCATCCCCAATCTTTTGTATCTGATACTCATATTGATCATTCGACCTCAGTAATGGGTTAAATCCATTAAAGGTCCCAACATTCTGTTCCTCAGTGATTGTGTTCTTAGCTTTGACTGCTAATTTTGTTGCCACTTTTGTCCATTCCTCTTGTTGCGTACTTGCATTTGGAGCCTCTTTACTCATAGTGCTTATCTCAAGTTGCTTTTTTAGGTTGGCAGTACTGGGATCAGCCTTATTTTGTTGCACACCCTGGTTACATGTGGCATTATTCTTCCTCCACACTTGTTTCACTTTCTACACTTTACCTCTAGTTTGCTGTACAATAGGGTGCTGGGCTTCCACTTCACTACAGGAGTGACCTACTTGCAAGCATTTTCCATAGAATTCTGGCTCCCATTCATAAGCAATTTCTTGCTCCAATTGATTTTCTTTTGGATCAAGCATCAGTATACATTTAGGCAGTTCCTTTGTGATATCCATATCTTTAATGACCCTGGCATATGATATGCGAGTAGTATTTGTAGTGCAATCATCAGCATACAATGGCGTACCTAGCCCACTACTAATTTTACTTAAGGATCTTTTGTTTCAGCATTGTAATAGCAGGTTTGGAAACTTTACCCACAACAGAATCGTCTTTAGAACTTCATTTTTAAAGTTAAAGTCAGCAACTCAAGGCTTCATTATCACATGCCTATTGTTGATCATATTAGGTCCAGACAATAGCACTTCATCTCTATCCTCCATATTATTGAATCTGATCACAAAGTAGTCCTCATTATGGTAGAAGATTTGAGGCTTTGTAGTGAATTTCTAGTGTGCCAGCAGAAACCTTTCAACAGCCCCTATCGTAGGAGAGTACCCAATTACATAGAGGATAATTGATTCCTTCCATTTCACAAATCTGTGTTTTTAATATCTAAAAAGGTCATTTTCTTAATTCTAAAATTGTAAAAGGGCATTATGCACAAATAACACCCTCTCATGATCACTTAAATTTGAATTAAATTTTAATCGATCTTTAATAAAATGGTCACCTACTAAAATAACATTTGAAATGTGTCATAAACATAATCTCCAGCCCCATTATGTTGCTCGCAAGGGATGATTATATTAGTAGTAAGAAAATAACACGTTGCATGCATTTTGAAAGACACATTGCAGCTAGGACTGTCAAATTTGGCCCAAGCATAAATGACCCGCCTAACATGCCTAAAATTAGATTGGTTATTGACCCGTCCATTTATCGAACTCAGCACATTATGATCCAACTCATCTCAACCCATTTAAAGTTGGGTTAATTTTTAGCCTAAATTGATCCACGAGTAACTTTGTCAAAATATTTTAGAAATAATTTTTTTTGATATGTTATATATGACCATAACAAAAGAAAAAAAAGTCTTATTTAGTAATTATTATACAATTCATAAGAAAATAACACATATTAAGTAAAGAATGATAAGAGTTGGCCGGATTGGGTTATGACCTAAATTTTAGTCCATTTTAGCCCAAGTAACTTTTGGGAAGGTTGTTATTAACTCTACCCATTTTGATCCACCCAAAATCAGCCCAACTTGCCCATTTGACACCCTTAGTCGCAACCATTGTTGTGTCGATTGTTTTGTTACTCTGATTATTGTATAGGATAAAATATGATATGACACGTGGTCGTCTAAAGGAAGGACACGTAGAACCCATGGAAAGGACAGCTGAAGACCTAACACAAATATTATGTTTTCACCTGAAGGGATAACGTTCATAGGAGTGTGTTAAATACCTCGCACCTGGTAGCATCTAATAAGGAATATTCCACAGCATCAAGAGCAACGGCCCATTACAGGGAATTTGACATTTATGTCCACCGTTACATCTTCATCAATGACCCTCATAATTAATTTAAAGGAGGGCACGATCCTAGGACTCCCTTCCCTAAACACAACTATAAATAGTGAGCTTAGTTATCTTTGTAAAGGACACAAATTTTCTAGCAAACTTGCATTACATTTTATACAAAGCTTAATATAATCTTATGTTTTGCTTTCTGATTTCATCATCGTTGTGCCAGGGAACCTTGCTCCCAAAACTGTTCATCTTTGCTGTTTCATTTACGTTCTAAGGCTAAGTATTGCTTTCCTTATTTATTCTATTATTTTCAAGATCAAATTAATTCACATATCTAGAAATCACACATAAATTTAACTATTCCATTTTACGTGTAAATAATTATATCGTCAGGAGCCTCTATTTACGATTACACTTGCACAATAGAATAAATACCCCTATCCTTACGCTTTTAAATCTCTTAATTCTTTTTTATGCATGATATATACTACAATTGTTGTACAAAGCTTTAGTCAACTTTTGTTCAACCTTGTGAATTCTTCAATAAGAGATCCGTGCTACTCTTGCTTTTATTTTACTTTTACGATTCCTCTTGCACTTACTTGTAGTTATCCTTGTATTGGAGAAAATCAATATTATACTTGGAATTAATTATGTGGCTGACGTAGCAAGACACATGGATCATTAGGAAAGTGACAGCTGGAGGTAAGTACTTAAGGAGATGCGAGACTTAATAGGTACGAGCAGGCGTCTAAGAGACAAGAAGAAATGGTCGCTCGGGTCTCTTCATAATTTGAAGAGATACCGGTGGAATGAACCAAGACAACAAAAAGTACAGATTCGTTAACCTTTAATTAATGAGCATGAATAATTAGAATTGTTACAGAATCTTCACGAAACAGTTACGATTGCCAATTATAATGTTTCATTAATGCCATTAATTGCTCATTATGACTCGATTATGAGAGGGAAGAAACGTTGTACTTAGAAATAGCAATAAAAGGGAGAGAAATAACATTTGTATGGACACCGATTATTACTGAAATATACTTATTTACATTGCTTTACATTGATTACTTTGCTATTTCTCGTTCTAATTTTCTTTCTCATTGCAAAAATATTCCTTTATTTGATTATCAGTAGCCAGAGTACTTCTAAAAATAAGCTTTGATCAAAATTTCTATTTTCTGGTTAAAACAAATTGGTTCCCTTACTGAGAATCTAATAATCTTTTACTTTCCAAATCAATCCTTCTGCCAAAAAATCATGTCGAACGTCAACGACAATAACCAACAAAACCTACAAAACCAAGAAAATCTGTAATATCAGTTGAATCAGCAAAATCAACAAGATGATGGAACTCCAACCCCCTCACCTCAAAACTCTCCTCAACAATCTCAAGAGGGAACTCTTGACAGATCTGAATCAAATATGAATGACCAGCATGAGAACGATGAAGCTATTGATGCACCGTTGAAGCAATTAATTGCCCAACAGGTTAACAATGCACTTCAAGATTTTGTCAGCAGGTTGCCGACTGTACCACCAACTCCACCTCCAAACAACACCGCAATCATAGAAAATCCCCGCTCAGGACTCGTTAACTCAGACAGTGGAGGAACTCCCAGCGAATCTCGTGATGGAGGGTCAGGTAACCCAGTTAATTCTGATTTACAAGGTTTAGTACTAACTTTGCAGAAGCAGCTTAAGGAGCAGAGCGATCGCATAGAGAAGATACCTGGTGTACCACTTATAATCAAGGGAATAGATATGGATAAATACTCTCAACAACCTTGGAAGCCAAGTGTCGCTCCTTTGCCAATTCTGAAAAAATTCAAGATGCCCGATATCCCGAAGTACGATGGGACAACTGATCTACGAGATCACGTAACGACATTTACAATTGGCGTAAAGAGCAATGATTGACCAAGCAAGAAATTGAATTAGTATTGGTCAAACAATTCGGAGAAACACCCACGAAGGGAGCACTGACATGATATTCTCTTTTACCTGAAAATTCTATTGATTCTTTTGCTGAGCTTGCAGATTTATTTATAAAAGCACACTCGGGGGCTCAAAAAGTTGATAAAAGGATGGAAAACATTTTTAAAATAAAACAAGGAGATATGGAGTTGCTCAGGGAATTCGTAGACAGATTCCAGCGTGAAAGGATAATGTTGCCACGTGTACCCGATAACTGGGCGGCTATAGCATTTGCCAATAATCTAAATGAAAAAGGCTTGGAAGCCATGAGAAGACTCAAAGAGAGCTTACGAGAGTTTCCCGCAATAACTTGGAATGATGTTTACAATAGATACAACACAAAGCTACAGATAAAAGAAGATACTATCACTCAGTCTCGGAAAGATGAAAGAGTAAGTTCAAGCTGGGAAGAAACTGAAAAAAGGTCCGGTAAAAATAGGTACGAGCCTTATATGGGACCATCAGGATGGGATTCACATTCAAAACAGGAAAACCCAAGGTATGATCCTAGATCAAGGGACAGAGAATCTGGTTCGTCGTCAATGTTTGGAAATGAGTGAAACATGCAAGATATGCGAGACGACGATAGAGGTTCAAA